AGATCTAGTACTGTTAACTTTACTTACTTACTTACTTACTTAATTAATTTATTTATTTATTTTCGGCTTTTCGAGACAGGGTTTCTCTGTGTAGCCCTGGCTGTCCTGGAACTCACTCTGTAGACCAGGCTGGCCTCGAACTCAGAAATCCGCCTGCCTCTGCCTCCCAAGTGCTGGGATTAAAGGAGTGTGCCACCACCGCCGGCAACTTTACTTAATTTAAAGGACTCTTTTAGCTACCCAAATCCCATGAAGCACATTTCATAATATATTAGTAATATCTTTTAAAATATATACGGTACAGTGGGACATAGTGGTTCACAACTTGAGTCACAGCACTTGGGAGGCAGAGGTAGATACATCTCTGTGAGTTCAAGGCCAGCCTGGTGTCTGTAAGTTCTCGCTCAGCTGTTTTCAGCAATAGGGTCTGACCTTTTTCTGGGAGGTAGCAGAGGGTCACAGAACTAGCCTATATTGTGCTGAGGGCCTCTTGCACTCCTTTGACCAACAACTTGAATAGAGGTTTCCATGCTTAGCATTGAGGTTTTTGTTAGGTGATCTTTGGTTTTGGTGAGACTTTATCACTCCAAGTTGTGTAACCTTAATTAAATTGTATGTGTATATGTTATACATATTATATATAACTTTAAGAAACATAAAATATTACGAATCCCTGTATCCCTTTCACTAACATCCTTAACGTTATACATATAAAACACTAACACTAGCATCCTCGTGTCGTATATATGACACTGGCATCCATATATATATAACACCCCTTTCACTAACATCCTTATGTTGTATGTATGTATGTGTATGTATGTGTATGCATGTCATACAAGCACTAGCATCCTCGTGTTGTATATGTGACACTTGCATCCTTATATATATAACACCCCTTTCACTAACATCCTTATGTTTTATGTATGTGTGTATGTATGTGTATGCATGTCATACAAACACTAGCATCTTCATGTCATATATATAACACTGGCATATATATATATATATCACCCCTTTCACTAACATCCTTATGTTGTATGAATGTATGTATGTACGTATGTGTGTATGTGTGTATGTATGTATGTGTATACATGTCATACAAATACTAGCATCCTCATGTCGTATATATAACACTGGCATATATATATATATACATACACACACACATATGTATGTATATATATATGTATATATGTCTCACCCCTTTCACTAACATCCTTATGTTATATAGTCTTCCTCTCTCTGTCTTTCCCTGCTTACCTCCTCCCCAGATAAATCTTTTCCCCATTATTTAATGACGATGTCTTTACTTTATTAAAAATGTAAACCTATATATTATTGCATATATGTTGCTATCTGTGCACAGCTAAGTTATTTCTAAGTTTATCTGTCTGTTTTCTCAACCCATTGCTGGGGATTAAACCCAGAGGAACTCAAGGCTGCTGTGCAGGCTGTACTGCTGAATTACAGCCTCCAAAAGCAAGGGTATAATTCTTGACTTTTTAATAGACTGCTTTGTTTGATCCTTTTGTAGCTACTTTATCACACTTTTGTTATAGTTTCAAAATTATTATTTTTACTCTGAGCTCTGTGAGGTTCCTAATTAACTGATAAGGATTCTGATTAACAAGGACAAGAGAAGGGTGGTGGTTCATGTCTGTAATCTCAGCATCTTGGAGGCTGAAGTGGGAGAGTTAGAAATTTAGGAACAATCTAGGGTAAGTAGCAAGTTCCAGGCCAGCCTGTGCTATGTACCAAGACCTTGTCCTAAACGAACAAACAAACAACAAACAAACACTGTTTAAAGTTGTAAAAGAAACCAATGACTGTAATTATTTTCAAAGCTGACGTCTTTAAGCATTTTGATTTTAGTTATGACACTTTATCACATAGGATCTTGCACCAAACTTGTCATAAACTGTTTTATTGGATTCATATTAATTTTATGAAGGAAAAGTTCAAATAAATGAAAGTAAAGTTTTATACAACAATTTACTACTTGGTACTTCCTGAAAAGGATTTAGATCAAGTTTTATTTTCAGACAAGGATTGCATAAATATAAATTATATTTAAAGATTAGACAGCTAAACATTTTTATCTATAAAATGTTCACATAACAGGTATGCTTTTAATACTTTTTGCATTATTATTGTGAGTTCATAGTATTATAGAATGAAAATTGCACATTTAATTTAAATGTTATTTTGGATTAGGCAACATTTTACCATATCAATGATTTCTTATTTTTAACATTTGATTTCATCTATCTATCTATCTATCTATCTATCTATCTATCTATCTATCTTTTATTTATTTATGTTGAGACATAAATTTTATTTTATTTATTTTGAGACAAGGTCTTGCTATATTGTGCAGGTTGGTCTTCAGCTCATGGTCCAGTTTCAGGCTCCTGATTGTTGGGATTTCAGACATGCGTTACTGTATCTGCCTGTTTCTGCATTTTAAATATATCCAGTAAGCTGGTCTGTTTCTTGTACTTGGGATAGTTCAAGTCATGGTAATGAGAACTAAAATTGATTGTAGCATCAGGTCATCAAATTTTCTATAGTGGGATGAATTGAAGATGTGTTTTATAAAGTGCTTTGCATGATTCATAGTGAATTACATAGAAGGTAGGTTTTCCTAAACATACCAAGATTTTTATCTATTTTTATTCTCTTTCAGAATCATAATGACTAGTTTTGTTTTAGTTTGCAGGACACTTAGGATGGCAAACTCATCAGACTAGCTGTATCAGCCATCACCTGTATTGACTCTCCATCTGTTTCTTTCAATTCATCTTGTTGCTTGTGCTTTACTGAGTATTTATGTAGCTTTCTTATGAAACCATTTCTTAAGCATAGTGTTGGTGATCAAAGCATTATCCCATATTATTTTCCTGTTAAGAGCTTTAAAAATTTAAAAGAAGGTCTTGTTTTGTATAATAATCCATACTGTAAGTTTGTACATGAAGTTCCTAAGTTGCTTTCTTGCTTTTATGTATTCCCCATACATTATTACTGCTTTAGCAGAAACTAATGCACTTAACATGTTTTGTGCTTAGATCCTGAAATTTTTTTGGCCTTGATTAATGGGAGATTAAATAAAAACCAAAAAAAGTTAAATGTGTCTATAAATGAGATAAAGGAAAACATAGGATAAAATAATTTACCCCAGTATTTAGAAAGCATTCTAAAACTGAAGTAATTCCTGTAGTAAACCATAGCAAGCACTTAAAACTTAATCTTACAGTGTTTTATGAGTTAACTAGATTCCTTCCTCTTTCATTTTTCTTTTTATATTTATTACTTTTTACTGTGACAGGGTTTCCCTGTGTTGCTCAGACTGGTTCAGAAGTCCTCAGCTTAAGAGATAGTTCTGCCTCAGTCTTCCAAGTAGCCAGGTCTACATGCGCATGCACCCTAGCAGCAGGATAGAACTCAGGCTTTCATTTTGTAGAGCAACAGAGGGTTAATGAGCCTTATGACCTAGGAAAGAATTTCTCAAGACATAAAAAGCATAAACCTTAATAGAAAAACATTGATAGCAGTAACATACACAATAATCCATAAAACCCAGCAGATACCCTTCACAGTGAGCTGTAACATAAAATGGTTAAATTTACTAGTAACTTAGGAATGCAGAAAAAATCCACACAGTAGTGGGATATCATTAGGTAAATATCAAATTGTAAATGAAATTAAGATATACGACTGTATTTTACATTTTCAAGTTTGAACCATTGGAAGGTTGTGTGGCACAGTCATTCTGAGAGACACTTGGGTTGTAAGAGAGTGAAGAATTCAGCTCCTAAATGTGTCAGTGTAGGGCTGGATAAAATTTGCTGCAGTAGCACCGTGGACATTCTGTATTAGTTAAAAGGTGACACAGAAGTCAGTGTCAGTTAAAATACTAACATACTGCAGAGACAATATCTGCGAAAACTAAAGTTAAAGTGCTGTAAATGTGAATTAAAGCCAGATATATGAAGATTACTTCCTTATGACTACATATGTATCTACAGGGGTACATTCTAAATTCATCTTGGTAATCTTCACAAAAGAGTCAAGGAACTTTATGAAAATGGAGCACAGTTTGCTTTTTCTTTTTAAAGAAAATATTCATAACTACAAAACAATGTTCAAAGCAAATGTTGAGAACGCCAACAGCTTTAATGCTGGGTACTGATGGAAGCGTTTAATTTTTCTTCTTTCTGCCTCTTTTTCGTTGTTTTGAGACAAGATCTTGTGATGTAGCCTAGTCTGGCCTACAACTTGAAATCCTACTTTTCTATAAAAGTAGAAAAAGACTGATAATTTTTCTACTTCTCGCTTTTAAATTTTTCCTAAAAAATTAGAAGAAAATGTTTAATTTGCTTAGTGTTACCTGAAATATTTTGCACACCTAATATTTACCCTTAGGACTTTATACATACGTTTTGAACCTTTTCTATGCCAAAGCAAAAGCATTGATTGTTTGAAAAGGTGTACAGACATTGGGCTAGGGATAGTGCTCAGTTGGTAGAGGGTTTGCCTGCCATGTAGGAAGCCCTGGGTTCAGTCCCCACATGAGACCGGATGTGGTACTTACACCTATAGTCCTAGCACTGGGCATCCTTGTCTACAGAGTAAATTACAGTTTGAGGCTATCCAGGGATACATGAGACCCTACCTTAAGTACTAAGACTTAAGAAACATGTATGATAACGGCAAAAGTTTTTGAGAGAAAAGGAAAAGTTATAAATTAAAAGCTATTTTATAATTAAGTATGGTGGTGGTGTTATATGTATATAGAGAATAACTAAGGTAAGAAAAAGGTATCTTTGTTTATTGTTCAAGATTTGCTTCATCTATTGCACGTGATGGAAGATACTACATGATATAAGAAAAATAACTTAGATATATAATCTAACTTTAGTCTAAAAAGTCAAAGCTAGTTTTTCTTCCACTTTTAAAAGTCATTCTTGACAAAAACTTTACAGCCTTTTTATTTGCAGCTTCTCTTCACGATAAAATGGCAAATCCCAAAGAGAAAACTCCAATGTGTCTGGTAAATGAGTTAGCCCGTTTCCATAGCATCCAACCCCAGTATAAGCTTCTGAATGAAAGCGGGCCTGCTCATTCAAAGGTAAGGTTATAAAGAGAGGCGGTGATCATGCTATTCAAACTGTCAGACTTAATTTGTCAGGTGTTCATTATGCTCTGTTTTGGGGGGAGGTGGTAGATGGCCTGAAGACATTTAAGTCAAGCCATTTTGTAATGTGTTGTGTTTTGTAAAGCTTTCAGATGTGGTACCTCATAAGAAGACCTTGAGGGCATAAGATTTGAACATTGTGTAATTGAAGGATCTCACTTACAGGAATGTTAAGTGTCTTCTTAGGAGATTGTCAATGCCAGCACTGGCACTTACATATGAAATAAGGTGTTCTTCCCAGTAAGTCAGAGCTGGTAGAACTAGGATGAGCAGAGCAGGTATTTATTTCAGGGGTTAAATATTGATAACATCTTTTCCAATATGATGTTTAATTTTAAGATCCACCATTTATAAAAGAAATTGTAAGTTGGTCTGTAGCATTATTACTATCTGTATTTACTTGCTTTTAAAAGCAAAGGCAGTTTTTATTTATAGCTACATATACATATATTTTACATATATTTCCTTGATATATATATTACAAGGAAATCTAGTACATCTATGTTTGAGCTCTGTTCATTTCTTGGAAAACATTTCAGTTGTGTATGGTTTTCCCTAACACATTTTACATTGGGTATTTTGAAAATCATGGACTTTTGTATATAATATGAAAACAGTTGGTTCTGTGAAAGTGGTTAGTCTATAAAGCAGGTGGCATTTGGGATATTTGGGTGTTTTCTGTCTTGTATAAAGCTAGGCAAATAGGTGAAGCTGTAGTCTCTTGGGTTTGTTTGTTACTAGCTTTTCTGGAGGCATTCTGGGCAGTCCTCACACCACCTCTTGTTCTTCTGTTAGCAGAGAAGGCAGTTTTGTTCTGGTTCCAGCTGCCTCACCATGGATCCTGGCTCTTTCCCACCAGTTCTGCTCTTTTATTTTTATTGTATATTTTATTTACATTTCAGATGTTATCCCCTTTCCCCATTCCCCCACCCACCCACCCAGAAACCCCCTATCACATCCCCCCTCCTCCTGGATCTATGAGGATGTGCCCCTACCCACCTCTCTGCCCTCGAATTTCCCCGCACAGGGGCATCCAGCCTTCATGGGACCAAAGGCTTTCTCTCCCACCTATCCCGACAAGGCCATCCTCCTCTACATATAGAGCTGGAGCCATGGGTCCCTCCCTATGTGCTCCCAGGCTGGTGGTTTGGACCCTGGGGGCTCTGGTTGGTTGGTATTGTTGCTTTCCCCATACTGTCAGACTGTTTATGTTCACAGTATTTTATGGGATTCTCAAAAGTAACAGTGTTAAAGTCTAACTGCCTTAGTTTCCCCCTCCCTCTTTCTTTTTTCTGTTTATGGCCATCCTTCCATCTTTACTTTCTCTACCCTTTGTTCCTCCCCCTCTTCTCTGTCAGCAATTTCTCCTTCTAGTGGATTATTCCCATCAGCATACAGGTGTGCTGTTAGTTTTTTTGTCTTAAAAATAATCTGACAGTATGTCTTCCTTAGTTCCTGTGATCACCTCTGTCCTGTATAGATTTGTGCAGGAGAGATCTATACTAGCTGGTTCTAGTTCCTCCCTAGTCAGTTTTGTTCCTGCCACCCCCATGGATTTTCCAGTGGAAGCCAACCAGCACCTCTTGTGGTAAACAGTGCTTTGGTCATCAGGCCTGGGTTCCAGACCTGTCAGCTGTATGTGGGACAGGGGAGATGTGTTAACCTCCTTGTTGAAAAATGCTCTTCCTTCGGCTTTATCTTTTGTGCCATGGGCCATGTGTATATATTTTTAGTTTTTTTTTTATGTTCAATTTTTTTGTTGTTGTTGAGATGTTTTGCTGTGTTCCTGGCTGGCTTCAGGCTCAACGTCCTCCTGCCTCATCTTCCTGAGGCAGAGTTGCATGCTTACAACACCATCCCTGGCTCACTGGCCACATTTTAAGTTCATTTTGATCTCTTTTTTTTTTTTTTCTGATCTTCTAGAGCTTTTTAGTTTGTAGGACTCTGTTTTCAGACTTGGTGTCTTCTGACTGTATCCGTTGCTGGTATCTGTGGTTGACTTAAGCATGCTGTCAGCTTTCAGATCTGTGTCTCTAACTCATACTCTGCCTTGGGTCTGAATTCCTGTTCATTATCTCCACCTGATTTTGGTCATATGTTTCTTCTTTATCTTTTCCACGGTGTTTACCACTGTCAGATATTTTATTGTTTTTTCTTTTCTAGTAAGAACCACCTCTGAGGACAGGACAGTACTCAGTATTTGTTGAATGAGTAAATGAGTAAACAGTTGGTGAACAGTTCATTTAGTTCTTTGTGTACGTGTACATGAGTTAGCTGTTTTCAAAGACAACAGTGGAAGTAGGATCATAATTGTTTTTCACTGTAAATTGAAAGAAGTGGAGAAATGTCAAGTATTGTCTAGAAACCTGGAATCTAATACCCCTAAACAGACTTTAATATAAGGAACAAATGGACTGGGGTTGTAGCTCACTAGCATATATAAGGCTCTGATGTCAGTGCTCAGTACTACAAGAAGTAAAAACAGAACAAAAAGTAATAAGGAAAAATATTTAAGCAATCTTGTTGCTTAGTTCTTCTAAGTCTGTTAATGGAAGATAAGTTAAGAAAGAAAAGAATTTGTTAATTTTATTATTGATCTTTTTCTAACATTTAAAAATTTTAAATGCTCATTAATAAATATCTGTTAATCCTTCTATTTGGAGTTATAAGCTTACTAATTCTGCTTCATTAATGATTTACCATGGGAACATTAAGTAATTTCTTCTCTTTTCCCATGCATCCTTCTTGTTTTCCTGATAGCCTGGGCTTTCCTGGTCCCTGTCTGTGGTCCTCCTGTCTCAGCCTCTGTGTACTGACTGCAGATGTTTACGCTCAGCCACACAGCCAGGTAGTTAGCCTAAGCCAAACAAGTGCTTTAGGACTTTGCAATTCTATTTTGGTAGTAGGATTTTTTATTTGAACGTGATTCTTTAACATTTTTATTTAGTCTTATCTCATACAATACATCCCTTAACTTCCCCTACCCCCCAGTTCCCACTCTCTACTCTCCACTCGCCCCCAGAATCATTCCACACCCCTCCCATATCGCCCAGCGGAGAAGAGCAGGCCTCCCAGGGACAGGAACCAAACATGGCACAACAAGATAAAATAAAGCCAGGTACAAACACTTACATTAAGGCTGAGTAAGGTAACCCAGTTGGAGGAAGAGTCCCAAAAGCAGATTCAGTGTCTCTGATTTTATGTTGAAGTCTTTAATCTAACTGGACTTGAGTGTTGTGCAGGATGGCAGTTCTAGATCTATTTGTATTTTTTTTTACATGCACCAGTTAGTCCAGCACTATTTGTTGAAGATGCTTTCTTTTTTTCATTGTGTATTTTTGTCTCCTTTATAAAAAAAATTCAGGTGCCCATAGATGTATGGCTTTATGTGTGGGTCTTTGATCCTATTCTATTGATCAACATGTTTGTTTTTATGCCAATACCATGTGGGCTTTTATTACTATAGTTGGAGTACAGCTTGGAATCTGGGATGGTAAGACCTCAGGAAGTTCTCTTATTGTTCAGGATTGTTTTAGCTATCCTGGGTTTTTTGTTTTTCTATATAAAATTGAATATTGTCCTTTCAATGTCTGTGAAGAATTTTGTTGGAATTTTGATGAGAATTTCATTGAATCTATAGGTTGCTTTTTGTAGGACAGCCATTTTTACTGTGTTAATCTTACCAGTCCATGAGCATAGGAGATCTTGCCATCTTCTGATGTCTTTTCCAATTTCTTTGTTCAAATTCTTGAAGTTTTTGTCATATAAGTCTTTCACTTACTTGGTTAGAATTACCCCAAGATATTTTGTTTTATTTGTGGTTATTATAAAGGGTGTTGTTTCCCTGATTTCTTTCTCAGCCCATTTGTTGTTTATATATAGGAGGACTACTCTTTTTTTTTTTGTATTGTTTTGTTTTATTGAGTTAATCTTGTATCCATCCACATTGATGGAGGTATATATATCTGCTGTAGGAGTTCCCTGATAGAATTTTTGGGATTATTTAATATAAATTGTCATATAAAAGTAGTGATACTGTGACTTCTTCCTTTCCAATTTGTATCTCTTTGATCTCCTTCAGTTGTCTTACTGCTCTGGCTAGACCTTCCAGTGCTATACTGAATAGATATGGAGAGAGTGGGCAGCCTTGTCTTGTCTCTGATTTTAGTGGAATTTCTTTAAGTTTTTTTTTCCATTTAATTTGATATTGTTTCCATTCTTTCTGCTAGGACTCAGGGCTTCAGTCCTTTTCTCTCACCCAATACCAGATCAGGTTTCCCTCCCCACCACCCATCCCCATCAGCTTTCCCTCCCAGGCCTCTCCTTCCTTCCCTTCTTGTGTTTGCTTTCTTCTCCTCCCAACCGGGACTGAGGTGTCCTCACTTGGACCTTTCAGCTTGCTGACCTTTCTGAGTTCTGTAGACTGTACCTCGAGTATTCTGTACCTTTTTTTTTTTTTTTTGGCTAATATCCACTTATTAGTGAGTACATACCATGCATGTCTTTTTAGGTCTGACTCAGGATGATATTTTCTATCATCCATTTGTCTGTAAAACTCAGAATGTTCTCATTCGTAATAGCTGAGAGTATTCCATTGTGTAAATGAACCACATTTTCTGTATCCATTCTTCTGTTATTGGATATCTGAGTTGTTTCCAGCTTCTGGCTATCACAAACAAGACTACATTGAACACAACAGAACACGTGCTCCTGTGGCACGGTGGGGCATCTTTTGGGTATATTCTCAAGAGTTGTATGCTGGGTCTTCAGGTAGATCTAGTTCCAATTTTCTGAGGAACCTCCAGATTGATTTCCAGAGTGGTTATACCAGTTTGCAATCCCACCAGTAATGGAGGAGTGTTCCTCTTTCTCCACATCTTCGCCAACATGTGTTGTCACCTGAGGTTTTGATCTTAGCCATTCTGATTGGTGTG